AAAAGGATGTTCGTATAGATAAAAAATATAAGTAAATATTATTCTACTATAGAATAAAGAGTAAGAGTCCTTTTTCAAGGAATCAGGATTCCTAATTATCTCTACAACAAGGTAGGAGAAGCCCATAGAAGCAGGAACTGGTCAGTGCCTTTGTGTTATAACAGTGGGATGCTTTCTCAACACATGATTAAGTTTTTAGATTGCTATACAGCACAACAGTTGTATGCTGATTTTGATCCTTTTGAAAAGATATGTTCAATCTACAGTCCTGGTCCCTTTGGATATGAATTTACTGGGAGATAGGGTCTTTAAAGGTGAAATCGAGGTAAATAAATTGGACCCTAATTCAAAGTGGCCAGTTGTTAGAAGAAGAGAATAGGCCCAGGAAGAGACATGTCAGGAAGGAACACTGGGCAACAATGGAAAGACAAGACTGACGACTTTCCTGCAAATTGTGAAAGTCCCATGACTAGGTCACCACCAAATAATCACCAAGATGCAAGGGGTGATTATTCTATAGAGCCTTTGGAAGAAGGCCAAAGAGTTCTACTGATAGGGTGACTTAAGACTCCAACTTCTGGAACTAGAAGTTATGCTTCTGTCCTTTTAAGCCATATATTTTTTGATATCTTCCCCACGTTGAGAATATTATTCCCAAGCTATGGCTTTCCAAAACATGACCCAATGTCTAACCTCTACAACACAACTGGTCTTCTAGATCCATTCTTTCAATATGATTGTATAATGGTTACTTTTAATTGTCATTTTGACAGGATTTAGCATCACCATGGAAACAAACCCCAGGGGCATTTTGTAAGATATTTTCTAAATTAGGTTAATTGAGGTGGGAAGACAGACCCCAGCTATAGGCAGTAGCATCCCATGGGTTGGTCCCTGACTAAATAAGGAGAGAGTGAGCTGAACAGCACCTCTCATCACTCTGCTCATCATCAATCATCATGTCTGTAGATACAACATGACCAGTTAGTTGCTGTAACATGAGGGCTGGCTTGTTGGGGTATCTGTCCCACCCAGTACCCCACAGCAGGCAAACCCCAAAGAAAATCACACACAGGACTCCATAAGATTATAAACTGATTGGCCCATTAGCTCAGGCTTCTTGTTAACTAATTTTTACATCTTACAGTAACCCATAATTCTTGTCTGTGTTAGCCATGTGGCTCAGTACCTTTTCCAGGTGTCAGCTCACATGTTGCTTCTTTGGTGATCTGGGCAGGACTGAGAGGAATCAACTTCCTCCTCCCCAGAATTCTCTTGCTCTCCTTGCATCATTTCCACTTCCTGTCTGGTGTTCCCACCTACACCTCCTGCCTGACCAATCAGCATTTATTTAAAACATGATTGACAGATTATTCTTCAACTAGTTGCCTTAAGCTCCTGACTCCAGCACTCCTCCACCATGATAGATTATGCACCTTGCACTGTGAACTAGAAGAAACTCTTCCTTATTTAATCGGTTTTGTTCAAACAGGCATTATTCCTCACAGCAGTAAGCAAGGTAAGTTATACAGAATTTTCTTGCATTCCAAACTTTACATTTATTTTTGGTAGTTTTTTTAATTCTAAACTGTAAATACACAATTTAGAGTTGTATACAATTATAAGGTACAAAGTAGTGTCATGATTTATAAATTCAATGTAGAACCATTATATCAAGGTAATTAATCTATCACTCAAATGTTTATATTTTTATGACAAGAACATTTAATATTATTGTCTTATTGAGTTGGAAATGCAAGTTATTTACAATATCCATGTATTTCTACTGTATATTAAGCAATATAAAATAATTCCTATTGTCTGACTAAAACCCTGTACTCTCTGATTTTCAACTCTCCATTTCCCATCTCTCAGGATCTGGTAACCACTATTCTACCATCTGTTTCTTTGAGTTTTATGTTTGTATTTTCTACATCTAAATGAGAAGATATGGTATTTGTCTATCTTTGTTGGATTATTCTATTAGCACAGTAATCTTAACTCCATCCATGTTGGCACAAATAACAAAATTACATCAAGGCTGAATAGTGTTCTATTATATAAACACAACCACATTTTCTTTAGCTATTTATCTAGTGATGGATGTACAGGTTAATTCAATATGTTGCCCATTTCAAAAGTCACTATAATTTACATGTGATTGCTAATATCTCTTACACATACTAACTTCAAATCCTTGGAAAGGTATATCTGAGTGCCCTGATTACCTTACTAATGCTGTGTTAAGACACCTTGACAAAGTCAATTTATAGAAGAAAAAGTTTTCTGGATTTAGGTTTACAGTTTTAGAGGATAAGTACATGAGCATCATGGTAGAAAACATGGCACCAAATGGGCAGGCATCATGAAGGAACCTTACATGTTGAGACAGCAACTACAATGCAGAGGGAGGGAAAGAGAGGAAGAACCAAGTAGAATTTCATAGGCTTTTGAAACCTAAAATCCCACTTCCAGTAACATACTTCCTCTAATGGGGTCATACCTTCTAATTCTCCCCAAACAGTACCATCAATGCTGGGGACCGAGATTCAATCATAGCAACCCATGGAAATCACTATCATTCAGACCACCACATGAGTGATGGAGTAATTCTATGTTTGGGTTTCTGAGGAACTTCCACTCTGTTTACTATAGTAACCATGCTATTTGCATTCAAACAAACAGTTCAGAAATTTTGATCGACATATAGTGTTTCTACCCACATCCTAATTCTCTTTCTCATAAAAAATAAATTCTTCTTTATATCTTTGTCATCTATACTAAATTTCTAGTCTGTTTCAAGTACTCTGCATAAGCCATTCTTTTCAATCACCTTCCTAAAATGCATCCCTGCCTACCACTATTGCTCTTCTCTATGACACTATTCATGTGTCATTCAAGGTCTCATTACCTCATAGGCTGATTGTCATCCAGTCACCAGAATGACTTGTATTCAATTTTTCAAATACTGAAACTTAAGAAAAACTAAATACTTACCTAGTTTTACTTACACTACTTAGTATTAACTAGCAAAGAAAAATAATAGCAAAAACTAATGAACCCACTAAATGTAATGAAACTTGTAACATAGACTTACATTTCATAAATTACCGAAATAGTCTTATCTTTTAAGACAGGAGGATATAGAAAATAAACAGTATCTCTTTCCTAGAACACACATTAATAGACTATGTTTGAAGGATATCTGAGATTTCAAGGGTGAAGAACTCTAGTCAGTGTTTTTAACTCAGTTGTTTTTGTTTGTTGTTTGGAATGCTTTTTATTTGTAACAGTTATCAGTACACTACAGAATTAGAAATTCGTGTTTTGCTAATGCTACTATGAACTAAAGGACTTCAACTAGAGACTGCATTCTGTTCTCAAAGGCCAGCATCTAAGCTGACAGATCGCAATATTCTGCCCTACCCTGCTTCATCATCATCTGAGGAGATTTGCAGCAGAGCGAAGGGCATGCAGCATCTTCAGAAAGCCCCGTTTTAGCTCTGCTCTTCTCTACTCTGACATCTGAAGGAAACAGAAGATTTTTTTCCCACTTTCACAAAAAGTGGGAAAAGTGTACCTGAGGCAGATATTTGTCTCAAACTTCATCAGAAGTTAAACATTACCCTAGATACTGAAAAATAGAATAAATAGGCAGGGTCCTTTGCTAGGTAATTAAATTCCAAACCACAGACATGTGAAGATGAATTCTTCCATTATTGGGCTACATGTTAGAGTCACATCATCACAGATTGACCAAGGATGGAATGAATTCTTCAAAAAAACTTATAATTCAAAGTTTGTGTTTTTTTTTAGAAGGAACTAAAGTGTAAATTAACACACAGCAATAGTTTTATGTAGAATTTCTTTTATTAAATAGAGACCAATATAAAACACTAAAACAGAAAAAGGTTGAAAATGGCAAAACTTAAAGAATTATAAAATATAGTAAATAGAATGCAGAAGGGGAAATTGACTTGGAAACACTTTTTATTTAAGGAAATAAAAACATAAGTACTTTTGTGTGTCATAAGACAGGAGAATGAATATTAAAACAGGCATAAGTAAAGAAGAATAAATGAAGTGAATTTGTGTCTCCTGGGAAATTGACAAGCTGTAGAATTTAGGATAAAGAAATGACTTTTTAAGGGTAAAAAGATAAAAGAGAGTATATGTAACCCCCTTAATATATTAGAACTACTAAATCCATTATGGGTAAAAGATAAACCCATTTATGTTGTTTTAATTGCCTTTTGATATAATAATAATAATGATAACAATAATAATAAATAGAATGTGTTCAGAGCATTAAGGAGCAAGAAGAGAATAGCAGAGTTGCTTTGGGAAGGCAAAGGATAGGTGTTTAGTTAAAGAAGGCTCATAACAGGAAGCAGGTAGAAAATGATGCTGGCATAGCTCACATCTCTGTGGTTCCTTAATGCTCTTTCAGTTGTTGAAACTGAGTCATGTTACCTTGGATCTCCCACGAACTGTGGGAGGGATAGAGTTTACTAAGCAAATCAGTAGTGTAAACATAATTAGACAGAGCTATTGTCTAAATAAATCTGGCATGTACCTTGCCTGGCAACCCTTGGCTAGTCATTAGTCAGTGTTACTAATTAACCTGCGCCTGTGCCATCTGCTCTCCTCTGTTCCCTCTCTTCCTTAGAGAGTGCATCTATTCTTATGAGTCTCACCATCACCGTTCGCTAACAAGTAAAAACTCATGCAGTTATGTCTCAGTTCTCTGCAAGTGCTAGCCTCACAAGCACAAGTATTAAGTAAAATGCTGTATGAATGAAGTCAAATTCATGGTTCTTCCCCGGAGCCACCACTCACCCTTACTTCTGGATCTTAGTAAATAGCACAACATTCTTCAAGTAAGTCGGTCTAATATATTGGAGCAATTTGAAGTTACTTCATTTTTCACAATTTACATATATTGCATGCCTGATTTTGTCATAATAGTTCCATCCTAGGTTACTGACCCATTTACTCACATTGTGATGTCTCCTGGAGTTTTGTTCATCTCAGAAACATCCTTTTCCAGGTTCAGTTCCATCAGTCCTGCAATCATAAACTTTTATTTCCTCCCTGCACCATACCTTATCAAAGTTTAACAAAGGTGCTAAGAGCATGGTCCCCAGAGAAGACTGATGAGTTTAAATGCTTGAATCTTATGTGTCTTAGTATCTTCCTTTACAACATGGGACTAGTAATTGCAATAATATTTGTACTTTGTAGTAATACACAGTTTAAATGAATCAGTATCTGAAAAGCATTTAGAGCAATATTTAGCTTATAATGTGCAATAAATATTAGCTGTTATTATTACATGAAATTCCATATTAAAAATCATGACAACCTAATTTTTTATTTTTTATTTTTTAATTTTTTTAATTGATTTTATTGAGCCATACATTTTTCTCTGCTCCCTTCCCTTTCTCTCCTCTCCCCTTATATCCTCTCCCAAGGTCCCCATGCTCCTAATTTACTCTGGAAATCTTGTCTTTTTCTACTTCTCATGTATGTCTCTCTTAGGGTCCTCTTTGTTGTCTAGGATCTTTGGGTTTGTGATTTGTATGCTGTTTTTTCATTTCTTTTTGCTTTATATCTACAAACCACTTATGAATGAGTACATATGATATTTACCTTTTTGATTTGGGTTACTTCACTCAATATGGTGTTTTCTAGATCTGTTCATTTGCCTGCAAATTTCAAGATGTCATTATTTTTTATCTGCTGTGGAGCACTCCATTGTGCAAATGTACCACATTTTCCTTATCCATTTCAGTTAAGGAGCATTTACTTTGTTTCCAGGTTCTGGCTATGATAAATAATGCTGTTAGTAACATAGTTGAGTGTACTGCCCGCCTGTACCACTTGACAGTACGGTACTGTGCCTGTAGTGGGACACCTGCACTACAGGACCATTCTCAAGCCGGGAAAGGGTCTGGAGATTTAAACACACCAAGACACACAGACCGAGACACAGGTCATCCTTGATGCCAGAATGCCCCAATAACACCCCCTTTATTGTGTTAAGTGGCAGTTTATATAGGGATAGCCATGCCCCAGCCAAACCCACTCCCCTCCCATCAGGAACTCCTGAGGGTCTCCTGCTCAGAGCAGCTGCAGGCTGTCTCAGAGCAGAGGAAAACATGTTGTTTACAAGAAATTCAGGATCTGGGGGTTCACTCCTCTCAACAGTTGGGTACATGTCCTTGTGGTAGAATTGAGCATCCTTTGAGTATATACTCAAAAGTGGTATTGCTGGGTCTTGAGATAGGCTGTTTCCTAATTTTCTGGGAAATTGCCATGCTGATATCCAAGAGGGCTACCAGTTTGCACCCCCACCATAAATGCAGGAGAGTTCCTTTTATACCACAACCTCTCCAGCATAAGATGTCATCAGCGTTTTTGATCTTGGCCATTCTTACAAATGTAAGATGGAATCTCAGAGTTGTTTTGATTTTCATTTCTCTGATGACTAAGGATGTTGAACATTTCTTTAAGTGTCTTTCAGCCACTTTAGATTCCTCTGTATAGAGTTTTCTGTTTTGGTCTATACCTCATTTTTATTAGGATTATTTGTCCTTTTGATGACCAATTTCTTGAGTTCTTTGTATATTTTGGAGATCAGTCCTCTATCTAACGTGGAGTTGGTGAAGATCTTTTCCCATTCTGTAGGCTGCTGTTTGTTTTGTTGACCTTGTTCTTTGCTTTACAAGAAACTTCTCAGTTTCTGGATATCCTATTTATTAATTGTTTCTCTCAGTGTCTGTGATACTGTGGTTATATTTAGGAAGTGGTCTCCTGTGTCAATGCGTTTAAGTATACTTCCTACGTTCTCTTCTATAAGATCCAGTACCCCTCCTTTACATAGATGATAAATGAACTGAGAAAGAAATCAGAAAAGCATCACCCTTAACAATAGTCACAAATAGCATAAAATATTTTGGAGTAACTCTAACCAAACAAATGGAAGACCTGTATGACAAGAACTTTAAATCTTTGAAGAAAGAAATTGAAGAAGACGCCACAAAATACAAAGATCTCCCATGGTCTTGGGTAATTAGAATTAACATAGTAAAAATGGCAATCTTACAAAAAGCAATCTACAGATTCAATGCAATGCCCCTCAAAATTCCACTGAAATTCTCCACAGACCTCGAAAGAACAGTATTCAACTTCAAATCAAAAAGCAAAAACCTCAGAATAGCCTAAACAATCCTGTACAATAAGAGAACTTCTGGAGACATCACAATCCCTGACTTCAAACTCTACTACAGAGCTACAGTACTGAAAACAGCCTGGCATTGGCATAAAAACAGAAAGGAGGATCAATGGAACCAAATCAAAGACACAGATATGAAGAAGCCATACACCTACGAACAGCTGATTATTGACAAAGAATCAAAAAATATAAAATGGAAAAAAAAGAAAGCATATTCAAAATGGTGCTGCCATAACTGGATATCGTCATGTAGAAGTATGAAAATAGATCCATATCTATCATCATGCATAAAACTCAAGTCCAAATGGGTCAAAGACCTCAACATAAAGTGACAACCTAATTTTATGCAACTTTACTTATCTTTTATTTTTTTTAGATAGGTTCTTATCGCATAGCCTTGTATGACTTAAAACTCATATAAATCAGGCTGGCCTAGCCCACAAAGAGATCAACCTGCCTCTACCTCCTGAGTGCTGGGATTAACAGTATGGGTCACCACACATGGCCTCTAATGTGACTTTCTAACATAAACTTCCATTCATTAAGCTTCGCCACAAAGCCACTAGATGAGATCGTGTGATTTCCTGCCTCCATACCTTCACTGACAGAAGCTTCCCTACTGCTCATCAGTGAAAACCTGCTGACTCCTGACCTACAGAGCACAGGACAGTAAGCCTGCCATGATGGTTAGTTTGTTGAGTTTCCAAAAAGAATTATAGGTAACAGTGTAGATTTGTACTAAACAAGATTTTACAGTTTTTTTTTCTCTCATGAATAAGAGTCTCTTACTATTACTATTAAGGCAAGGGGGGGACAAACAAAAGTCCTTGTCTGCTGTCAAACAGATGATAAAACTGTGGTCAGTAAACTAGGCAATTTTCAAATCCCCTCTTCATCAGCAGTACCTGGACAATTTTAAGCACTTAATAAACATGATATGCAAAGGAATGTTTAAAAGACCGTAAAATAGAACGTAGGGGTAGATAGATTGTCCCAAAAAGGAATTGGAATCTAATGTGCAGATGTCTTTTCTCTGACATTGAGAAAAGCAGAGAAATGAGCAGACACAGGAGAGAGGCAAGTCTCATGGTCTGTGATAGGAACCATATTTATATTACTGTTGATAGGTTTGGGCCATATCATTTTATAAATGACTCATTTGAGAAAGCAAATTATTAAACTACAAGATTTATTAGAAAGCTCTGCAACTTGCATATATCGAAATCTACCTCAGTTTAGAGGAAAACCCTCCTCTTCTTGCTGCCCCACTCCTTTCCAGACAGAAGTTAACCAGCAAACAGCTCAAACTGAGAAGAAACTCGCATTAGGTGGCTGGACAATGTATAAGAAATCTTTTATGCTTCACAAAATAAAATAATATATTCATGATTTTCCTTAATACTTACACAGTGGTGAGTGTTAGGTGAGCTTAATAAGTGAAAGGTACATGTCGGTTTTGTATCTAAGGTGAATTTTCTTAAATATCTCCATCTAAATTACTAACGACAACAGTGGCCTTCAGCAGAAATAAACTGACCTTTAGGTTTCAAACCTGAAGTAACTGATGGGCAGTTTACCAATTTAGTGGCCATGGTCACAAGGAAATCCAAACCCACAATTTTAAAAGAAATTATCTATTTTGATAATTAAGTCAGATGAAAATTAAAGCTGAGAGGAGCTAGAAAATCAGATGCCAAAAATATTATGAGAGAAATGCAAAAAAAAAGCTACAGTTATCAAAAGAAAAGCAGTTGGTTGTGTTAATTCCCTTCAGCTAGAACAACAGAAGCAGGCAGCAGTGAGGCATGAAAACCACAAGCCTCAGTCGTCAGGCCAGTGAGGCCACTTCCTGAATATATGACCTTAAAAAAAAAATCACTTCTTTCACTAAACCTTTGATCACTCATTGATAAGATTTATTATGAAAGTTCCATGTGTTTATATGCATACTTTTCCCCTATTTACTGTCACATAAAAGAAAATTCAATTAAAAAATAAATGTATTAGTAATATGTATATCTATATGCTTGATCTGCATAATAAAAGATATATGAAATAACACTTATAGAGATATCTAGAAGTATTTAGTATATATTCTAAAAATTCTAGTATTTTTAGAATACAAAATAAAAAGCTTTATACATCAACAAGACCTTTGTAAAACATTTCAAACGAAACACTGCATTTTTCCCAAAGTAATCATTGCAAAGTAATAAAATTTGATGGATTATAGTATAGTATAACTTATTAAAGCCGAGATATCAAATATTTGCAAAGAAAAATGACTGAATTCTACATAATTTAAAACCATTTAGGACATCTTCACAATGCAAAACAAGTTTTAAAAGACCAAAACAACAACAAAACAAAGCATTCCTAAACTGAAGTAAGCCAAAGTGTTGGCTTCAAAGTTAGGAGTTGCAAAAACCTTGGATACAATGTTAGTGAGCTTCAGTTCAAATGTTGTAGGAATCCTCCTGCCTCAGTGCCCAAGTAAAGAGATAAGAGATGTGACACCCTTGAGTAGTGGAAGTGTTCCTCATTGCTTATCTTTATTTCTCTTCTCAGAATAAACTATCCTATTTAAAACCACCATCCTTCTGTACTATTGTTTTGAATATATCTGCCTTAATGTAAAGAAAATGGTAAGAAATTAATGCCCAGATTCCTCATCTGTAGCCAAATTTAGGAATGATGGTGGGTTTCAAGAATCCCCCCCACACACACACACACTCACTGATAAGCAATGACTCAAGAGAATTATACTAAGTGGTGGGAAGATTCTAGTCATCAAGAATTTTTTTTTTTTTTGCCCTGGAGATCTTGCCAGTGC